ACTTTGAATCACAAAATATTTCAGTCTCTAATCAAAAGGTATACATTATATTAAACAAAAACAAAGCAATTGTATTGCATTTTGCTGCCAATTGCAATGGTTAACAAATTAAATAAGAATCAATAATAAACATTTCAAAAGCCTTCAAAATATTTGAGTTGAGCTCAACTTGTTTTTTAAACAACAATATTTTTTGTGATAGATAATAACAAATTGATTTTGTATTATTTTCGAGTAAAGCAACAAAAAGCATGCAGTGTATTAATATTTGATTTGAGATGGTAGCCAATGCTAAGAGCCAAGTAAACTGTCCCGGGTAGCCATTTAACCTCTGCAACCACGCGGTCATTAATAACAGTTCGGGTCAAATAACACCAACTAATGCCTGAATAGATGTTAAGTTTAGGCAAACGTTTGAGTCTTAAGATACAGAGAGACCACATATAGTGGTGGCTTCCGGACTGCTATGAGTGGTAGTGAACAGACTTTCAGGTGATGTACACCACAGCGAGTGAACACCACTAATATCTATAACACTTTGTGTGGTTCTCTCTAATGATTATTTTTGGAAAAACTCATAAACTCTGGCAAAGTATGACATTCATAGAGTTGTTCACAAAGGGAGTCAAGTTTTTGCACACAATTCCTATGAAGACTAAGACACAGATGTGTTGGAGAAAGGATGAGAAGTGATATAATATAAGTTATATAACACTATAATTACAATTTAGCGCACTTATGATAAAAGAAATCGGAAATTTACGTTAATTGCACTTTTGTGAGCCTCACAAGTCTGGGATCTCCTAAGCCTTCATAAGTCTGTCAATCGTTTTCTACATTAATATGGCGAAGATTATGGCACTAACAGTGAGAAAATATCTATACATATAAATGAGTGTTTTGTTAGTTTGTTGGGTGCCTTGCTCGGAGACCCGGAGTGTTGGTCATCATAGCCTTAATCATGGTTTGCCTACAAAATGTGGCAAATGCTTGAAAATGAGCGAAAATAAAGTTAAACACATTGCTCGCAGTTTTTAAAAGATTTTGCACTTAAATTGAGTTTTTGGGGGTCTATTGTGTTAACACACGCTGTTCTCTAGCTTTACATTATATGAAACGATCAATTGATGAGATAACCTAACATAACATAACACAACATTACATTACATTTGCCTCCAAACAAAAAACACTTTAAGAAAAGCCTACACATCAAACATCAACTCCACAAAAATGGCAATAATTTTTCATTAGAGCATACATTTCCCCATTTATTTCATATGTTTAATATGTTTTTTGCCTCAATTTCATGAATACCTAATGAATGAGTTGTTGTATTAAAACGTTTACAATATTAACATATTATTTAAAAATTTTATTTCGTTGAATCAATTTATTTAAATACTTTGGCTTAACATTTTGTACCATATTTTGTTTGAAATATAATAAATATATTTTGAAACAAGTAATGAATTCGCAAATTAATTATATTTTAATCTTATGTTCAAATATATACTCAAAACATAATAAAACAGTTAAGAAATGCATTCAATAAATAAAAACCTCTTTAAGTAAAAAACTAAACATTTATTTTATGCTAAACAGGAGTCAATGGAAAATACATGTCGATTACAAATCAATGTTTTACTCATTTTAGATACAAATAAAATATACATTTGTAATTCAAATCAATAATTAGTGCCCTTATATTCATCAAGAGACTCTCAATATTCATTGTAAATAAGTCGATATGAATTTAAGTTTCGTTTTCCTAACTAAGTGTAACACCAAAAATGCAAACCATTTAATAGCTTTTGCAACAATTGGTAAACATTTTGTGTGTCATATCCATGACTTTGATGGCCTTAAGGGCCAAATCGATGTTAAGCACAGAATTATGGGTTACGTGAAGACAGCAGTGATTTGGATGTCTGTTGCCATCAACTGTCTGTCAAAGTCTATAGTCTCAGCACAACTGCAAACCACTAATTATTATCCCCAAGAAATCACAGACTCTATGTCATAGAGAATATTCATTGCATTCATAGCGAAAACAGTGGTTTTGTATGCATTCAGTGAATGGGCTCTTCCGGAGACAAACACTACTATTAGATGTCATCTCATAAACGAATGCATACTTTGTGTCAATAAATCAATGAAAAATATGTGCAAATTTGAACACTTCTATGGCGCTGGCAATCAAATCATTACAAATACACTTCAATTAGTGGATCACTTTAAAAGACATCAATTTTCTTGTTATGACACGGTTTGCAAAATAGCAAACATTATGTAAATATTTTTAATTCACAAAAATATTTATCTATTCTTTCGTTCAATTCTGTAAATATACTGTAGTTATATGACTTTGATTTTACATTAAGAGATTTTACATTTTACATTTGTTTTAATAACTATCGTATTTATTTTACATTTAAATTCATGAATTATATTAATATGATTCATAACTCCAATTAAAAATCCAGTAGTTTATAGTATTTAATGCACTGAATGTATGCATCGATGAAAGAATATATCGGAATATTTTAATTACAATTATTATAACATTGCACTCATTTATCTCATTCAAAACGGCTGATGACTGCTATGATGTGTGCAATACATCAAAACACTATTACAACACACTTTTTATGGCCAAACCATTAATATATTTGAAACTGGTCCGAAAACATATTTGTTATAATATTAAGAATTAGCAACAAAAGATTGATTGAGTTTTTGTTTTGTTTAAACTATTCACTCGATTAGTGCTGTGAACTGTATTCATAAAAATCAGGCCATTCTCTACACATTATACTCTCTATTCACTGAATAGTTTAGTATTTATTTTTGCGATTATTTTTATTACAAATTCATTCAGTAATACATTCATTACTCGCGTTTGATATTTATATTCTAATCGATTATTTTATTTTGATTAATAAGCGCTTTATATTAGGTATTACTCTTTGTCAGTGATTGCCAGACACCGGGAAGGACCTCTCGCAATGGCATGACATACTAGCAAATTAAATAGGATTGTATTTTATTAACTAGCCAGTTTTCAGACCCGCTCCCCCTTATTTTAAAAACCATTGAAAATCTTTTTAAACTTATTTCCACCGCACATCTCGCAATGGGATGGCATACTAGCAAATTAAATAGGATTGTATTTTATTAACTAGCCAGTTTTCAGACCCGCTCCCCCTTATTTTAAAAACCATTGAAAATCTTTTTAAACTTATTTCCACCGCACTCTTTGACTGTTTTGTAAAATTTAATTAATTACATTTAATAAAACCATTAATTTTATAATAAATTAATTACAATTATTAATGAGCCAAAACGCAAACATAACAAAAAATATGAATTTCATATAAAAATCAAATTTAAACCAAAAGTTAATTTTACGAAAACTTTTACATATAAGACAAATCAGTACACTATAAACATTTCAATCAACATATTTGGGACATTATATGAGTGTTCAGTATATTATAAATATAGAGTTAAAAACGAATCTCAAAAATATAAGACAAGAAAATTATTTGCCCTAAAAATAAAGCCGCAGAGAAAAATAGTTTCAAGCGGTTATACATACAGTCGTATTGACTGTATAAGTGAAAGCACAGGTGTACACAAAACAGAGATATTTTTGCTGAAATACAAGTGATTTGACGAATATTTATCTCTTGTGCCCCAAGTCTTGAAAGAAAGACTTTATATTTTTTATTTTTGCTACAAAAATCAAAACAAAGCTGTCTCTCCATTAGCTCTCTCTCTCTCTCTCTCTCTCTCTCGTGCTCTCGTGTTGCATAGGTTTAAGAGCATCGGACACAATAATAATACATAATTTTTTATGTGATCCACACGTGAAGTGAAGACTTTTTTCCATTGACTGAAGTAGTGATGAGGAGCGGCCCAACAGTTTTCAAGAATAATAATTGATTTATTCGTGGACTAAAAATTCTTGGGATGAATATATGAATGAGAGAGAGAGAGAGAGAGAGAGAGAGAGAGAATGGTTGATAGGTTTAATGGACAGATATTATATGGCATATTAGACATAGTGAGAGCTACCAACCCATTTCCTGGGAGGAGAGCGACTCCTAATTATGTATATAATACTTAAGCATTGAATGAGTAAAGAATCCAATTTCTGAAGGGAATGCCTAATCAATAGCTCTTCTCTCAAATAAATATTCTATCAGTTATTAATACATTTGAATATACAGTGCATTGGATTAATTTAAGAGTTTATTTTGAGGTCAACCGCAGCTAATTGTGTCAATTGTGGTACAAAACCCACACAATAGTGATTCAGTTCATGATCTGATCCAAACTGAGAGCCATAATCTTCCGCACATACAGTCAATGCGTTTGCATTTGTCTATTGCTCTGTCAATCTTGCATCACATGAGAGGAAATACATTTATGGTCTGGTCTTCCAAAACACCATAAGTCATAAAAAAATATCGACAATTCACAACAGAATTACAAAGTATGCCATCACTTCACTGGCACCACTTCTCTATTGAATAATACATACATTTTATGTTTTTTCTGCTTATTCTGCGGATCACTCGTCCAAAGCAATGCAAACTTGTCTTAATGATAGTCCAATACAAATACCTTTTTATAAATCTCTTGCGCCACAAACGGTCGCAAAAATTTATTTTAATTCAAAAACCAAACATAATTTTAGTCTCAAAGACGCGAAAACAGATTCTTTGCCGCAAAAGCGAAGTCTATTTCTTTTGAGCAATAAATCAGAATTAAGTTCACGTTTTGGGCGAAAGTTTGCGAGTGTTTTGATAAATAACTTGTGCTTATAATTGTCCGAAAAATGAATGTTTTCATACATTTTGTGATTATCTGATCAATAGGTGTTGTGGTCGACAGAGGAAGAAGCGTTCATTTCAATGGTATTACTCATCACTGATTTGTCAGGTATTGTCCGCTAAACCAAAACCTCACAACAATTATCTCTTACCGAACAAGTGATGCGTTTAAAGCCATTTCACGGACACAAAGTTAGACAAAATCTCGCGTCACGTGACCTCTTCGTAGGTATTGTGCTGTGAAGTGAAGGTCAGGTGTCTGTATGTCTACCGGTCCTCAACATTGTGTTGCCAATGAAGAGAGAAGTGCGTCCGTAGTCTTACCACAGCTTCACTATTAGATAACTATGGCTTACATGACAGCACATGACCGGCCCTGAAGGAGGGGATGCCTCGCATTGAGGCGTCGCACTCGTCATCCGTCTGTTAGTCCCCACTCTTTTCCCCGATTCATACTTCTATGCCATAGCATAGCATACCATACCTGTGCCACTCATACAGCTCTGAATCAGAGAATTCTTTCTGAAGGGGAAAAAGTGAGAGAATCTCATATTGAGTTGTGCTGTAAATATGTGGGCCTTAGAGGCCAACAAACACTCCTTGAGTTAGGACTAAAGCGATCCCTAATATCTCTGTTACACAACAGTAGAGACTATTCGTGAGCCCAGAGTTAAGAGCAATAGTGAGAGAGAGACTGAGTGTCAGACTTCGCACAACTCAGGAGACGGAGAGTTTAGTCTGCTTTCAGGTGCGCCCAGTGTTGGAGTGGTAGCTCTCACTCTATAAGACGTGATTCACGTAATTGTTTTGTCCGAAAGCGTATTGACGATCATATGTGACAGTTATGTCACTTTCGGTCCACAAAATGAATAATGAAATGACAGACTTTCATGACGTGAGTATAGAGTTATATAAACTTTTCTCAACTCTTTTCATAGGATTTTTGTTTGCTATTCTTCGACTCTTAATATAACTTTAAACATAACTAACCCTTAATTTGTATGACAGATGTGGCAGGACATCGAAAGTGTGCTTCTCGTGAGTGATGGCACACAGATTGTGCCCAATTCAGAGACCCACCGGTATATCCTCTCACAAACACAGCCTCCGCCACAGACACCACAACCAACTCATCAACACTTGAATACAAGTGATATTTATGTGAAACAAGAATACAATCAAATAAAGTCTGAATACGAGAGACCCACCGGTATATCCTCTCACAAACACAGCCTCCGCCACAAACACCACAACCAACTCATCAACACTTGAATACAAGTGATATTTATGTGAAACAAGAATACAATCAAATAAAGTCTGAATACGATTACCACCAAAACGAGACATACGAACAGTCGGTGCCGTACGTCGAGAACAACTACTGCAATGTCTCGCAATGGTCTGCAACACAACCGCCGATACAGTGCTCACAACCATCTCATCAGATGCAGTGCACCACTCGTATGGCCAACACCGGTGCCAAAGACCCGATGCTTTGGATGCCATCATCACAACAGGCAAACCAATCGACAAACTATTATTGTGATCAATACAACAATCCTTATCTGCACTGGAATTCGGGTCACTATCCATATAGTAAGCCATCTGTACTCCAGTGCCAAATATCGCCGCCGGCCTCACCTGAGAATGAGAAGCAGCACTCGTATCAGACAAACGCTAATAATTATCATATTAGCCCTAATAGTGATGTTTCCAAAGTTTCCATCCATTGCACAGACAATGCTAACAAACAGTATCCTAACAAACAGTATCCAAACGTGGGGTCTGTTGTATCCCAACACAGTTATACAACCACACCAACCGTTCCCTACATCAGAGGCATAGTTACTCCGCCGGCGTCACCACATGTCGACATTCATCACTACTCCAACTCGAGTCCATACAATCCATCGCAACAACCTGCGCCTGTCGTCAACATAATAGCGCCGACCGTCACACCAGTAGTGGCGCCCAAATCGAGACGCGGCCGACGCAGCACTGGCCGCAAGAAAGTCACTCATCACTCGTGCTCTTACGACGGCTGCACGAAGACCTATACGAAGAGCTCGCACCTGAAGGCACACCTGCGGACGCATACGGGAGAGAAGCCCTATCAGTGCAATTGGAAGGGCTGTGGCTGGAAGTTCGCCCGATCTGACGAACTCACCCGACATTTCCGTAAGCATACCGGCGATCGTCCCTTTCAGTGCCGACTCTGCGAACGAGCCTTTTCCCGGTCAGACCACCTCTCCCTCCATATGAAACGACACTCAACCTTATAGTTGTGTCACATATCACACTCGTTGTCAGCAATACCCCGAACTCTAGACTTATACTTTATTTGTCATTATATGCAATGATTGACAAAATGAGTTGATTGTTATCCTATTGTAAATAATACTATATTTACTAAATAAGTTACAGACCCACCACTACAGGCATAAGTTAATTATAAGTATTATATAACTTCTTTGTATATAAAATATACCATTTTTGTGATTATTCGTGAATTTTTGTTATATAAAGTTCTCTTTTTAGAGTCCTTTAAATTAGATTCATTTCAAACCATTTTTCATTTGTGGTTTGTCTTGGAGTTTGACTCAAATTAATGGCCTCTCTTTTATTATAAACGCAATGATATATGTATTACAACTTATTTTTAGGACCAGCGCTGAGACTAAGACTCGGCTCTTGTGTTGAATTATTTTTTTATTATTTAAGAAATATTGTGTTCTTATAATTTTCAATTTAAAACTATTTTTATTACTTTATATATAAGTTACTGTATTTCTTTGTATAATGAACCCTATTATAATGTAATGTAGTGAACATTTAAAGATCTCATATTTCAATAACAAAAATAAAATTTACTAAGAAAACCAAATTGAATTGAGAATTCATTTAACATAATCTAATTTTTAATGCAAATTTAATCTAAAAACAAATGTTTTTGTTTTATGTAAAACACAAACATTAAGATCTATAAAGCTATAAAAGTAGTGAATATCAAATGTGTGATCAAATCAAACCCTTTTATTATTCATCAGTGTTTGCCTTTAATTCAATAATAATATTATAATATATAATAATATTCTATAATATATTGTTTGCTTATAAAAGCAGAATATGTGTAGAGATTAGTCTGTCTTATGATATAATCTGTTCAATGAATTCGCAGATTCTGTCGATTGCTGTAATGCACGCAATGTTCGCATTGGCCTCACGTCTAATACACTATTATGTGATTTTCATATGTATTATTGCTTTTAATTTAAATGTAATTTTCTTGTAATCCTTGTATAGAAATGCAAACATTAATGAAATCTTAATAATGTTTATTTGAGACATAAAAATGGTTTTATGTGTTTAGAAAAACATAACTATTTTTTAGCGTACAATAAAACATTTGCAAAACTGCAGAATTGTATGAAATTAAAATTTTATGCCAAATACTGACAATAAAGAGTTATTTGGCAATATAAGTATAATATTTACTCGTTTTAAAAAAGTAAATATAAATAATAAAAAGGCTATGAATGAAGTGAAACAAAACGAAAGCATTTCATTTTATAATTACATTAAATGAAAAGTAGGATAATATTAACATAATAGCAAATAATTGATTGCTTTGCTCTGTAATTATCTTCCAATTCGTATAAAATTGAACCAAAATTTTGAAAATTAAATTTCTATAAAAATTGTTTTGCGAAAGTCTGTAATTTACGCCAAACTTGTGTTAAATTACAAATTTCTAGAAATCAATTACCAAATTATATACTCTGTATTTACTAATGAATAATAATTATTTTTAAAAATAAAAGACTAATTCGAAAGCAATTGACGGATTGAATGTGTGTTTTGTAATTGAATTTCACTTTTGTTTGATGGATAATGGAGTGGAATATTCATTTGGAAAACTTGAACCCAAAATCAATTATTCAATGCCTACTACCAACTACATTTATTTGAAATACTGTATCAGATATAAGTTTATTGATTGAGTAAAATACAAATTCAAGTTTTAAAGAATTTCAATAATATTTTTAAGAGATTTAATCGTCGGTCGGATATGTCTTAAGATAGAAGTCGTACCAAAAACGAGAAGACAAATCATGAAAAGACATTATTTATAAGAAACGGATTCAGTGTAGAGAAATAACTCAATCCATGAGTGGATTGTATATCAAAAGACCTAAAATTTTTATGTGTTTGATAAGATTTAGTACTACCGGTGTCAATATGTTAAAATATCTATACTATAAAATCCCTAAACTTTCATTGAAATAATTTTTCTATTAATTGTGAAATAACTAAATGATCCATTATTTTATACAGTTGTGATTGTGTACAAATAAAATTATATATTTATTGGGTTTTTAATTAATTATTTAAAAAATAAAAGTATTACAAAATTATTTTTATGTAAACATATTGTGTAAATTCAATAACTACAATATTACCCAATCATAAAAATAAATTACAAAGTTTAATAATTTGATTTTAAAATTATAATTACCTGTATGAGATAATTTTTAGTTTTTGTGAATTAACTAAAATTCTTAATGGGTCCTAAATTTTAATGAATCAAATATTAAGATTGTACTAGGATCTTTATCGGAAAAATTTGAAAATCATTTTAACAACAAATGACCCGAAGCTGTAAAACATTGACATTAAAATGAATTATATGTTTTACTTATTTATTTTTCATAAGAAAATATTTTAAACCTCGGACTTTATTCAATCAAAAAACTTTATTCATCACAGGTTTGGTGTAATTTAAATAAATAGCAAAAAATGTATTAAACATCATATTAATCAAAGCAGTATTTAATGCAATATTTAAATTTTGTGAAATCTTTTTTGTTATTTTAAATAGTTTCTATTTTTATTACTAATTAAGATTTTGTGCGCTTTTTGTATACTAATATTAACATAATGAATTTAAAATGTTTTGAATAAAAAATGTCTGTAAGTATTAATACATAATATATTCAACAGAATAAAAGCCAAATGCCTTATAAGTCACTTGAATTGAGTTAATGAATCGCTAATACAATTGAATGGAAACGTGTGAGCGATTTGTGCAGATAATTAAAGTATAATTTTTGCTGCCAATGATATTTTATATCATAAAACGTTAAACTTTATGAATGAAAGAAATTTCTTTTTCGCGAAACCAGTTTTTCATTATTAGTATAAGACATCCATACAAGTGATATAATGGCGCAAATTTGACGCAAAGATTGCATCGGAATCACGACTACTAATACATAGAGATCTATGAATGGAAAGGCGTGTCGGCGCTCACAAGAATGGAGTCAATGAAATATGAATAAAAAATTTCTTATGAATGCAATCCAATGCGTGAAATATACTATAAGTTTGAGAGATTCACTCACTATTACGATACTCTTTCATATGAGAGTTACAACTGATAATCAAGTTATACATCACTACTTCCCTGTCCTATAAGAGTCATTCAATCAAATCGTTTCACTGGTATTGGCTTTTATACAGAATATAAAAGAATCCAAAACAATGACGAATAGTAATACTAAAATCCATATTTAGCTTGATAACATACAGACATTATTTTTATAAACTCAACCATTTGAATGAATTAACAAACTATAAAGACATTACCTTCAGTGAATCCAATAGCTTTTTAAAGATAATTGTTGTACATTGATTGGAAAGTTTGGTGTCTCGTTAAGGTAAGAACATTTATAATACACTAATATAGTTTGTAACATCAAGGTATGATAGTCTTTAAAACGTGTGACAACCTTGGTGAAGCGAAATCAGATTCTATCATATCTGACTAATATTAAATTATTTGAATATTAAATTATAAAATAATATTTTTCTAATTAAATTATAACATGTTTTGACCAAACTACCTAGACCAAAAGACCAGAATATTAATTTTCATACTTATCTCATAAAATTAATATTAATTCAATATAAATTCTACAAAAATTAAAAAATAGTTAAATACAGTATTTGGTTAAATTGAAGCGACAATATCCAAACAAACTTAAAAGGAAGTGAATTTAAAGTAAATTTATACATGAATTATGAAAATTCATATTATTTTTCAATCAAATTTTTTGTTTAATAAAAGCAAAACTAAAAAAGGTATGGGTTATATCAAAGAAATTAATGGATTTTAAAGTTATAATAGATTTCAAAAATAGAAGTATGAGTTGAAAGCTTTTATTCATTAATCTTTGAATACGAGAGAGAGAGAGAGAGATTCAAAATATCATAAATTCTTATTAATTATAGATTTAATTTCTTAATAAGTTCAGAAAGTATAATAATTTAAATATAAGTAAATTTTATTTATAATTATAAGTCAAGTATAATAGTGTTGAATGTGTTGGACGAGTGTAGGAGTAAAGAGTGTATAAGAAAATTGTTGCCAAATGTGTTGTACTAAAAGATTACTCAAAATCTTATTTTTATTTAATTTTCTTTAGTTGTGAAATGTTTTAAAGCAATTTTTATATACATATCTCATACATACTGTATATCTATTCGTTTCTTGTTATCGAAAAATACCTTTTATTTTTGACATTTTCCTATTTTTCAAATATATTTCTCGTTTTAACTAAAAGACAGATAAAAAATATGAAAAATAAAAATTTTCTGTGGGTTTTGATAAACTATTGGATATAATGAGAAAATCAAAAAGTGGTCACTTCTTGTTTTTATTGCTGTATTTCTGTTTTTACTTCATCGCAAAACACAAATTCAGTTTAGTTTAGATATTAGTGTAAAATACTATTATTTTTCTACAAATCTAGTTTTCGAGACACCTTTTAAAACACTTTTTTGCTGAAAATGTGCTCAAAAATATTTGTGTTGAACTAATATGTGACGTGTCGTAGCATCGGATGTTAGAAGTCATCAATTATTACACTTCAATAAAAACCAAAAATATATAATGAATTGCTTTGAGGCGTTCATTCTGATGCAATCCGATCGCTGCCAATGATTCCGATTAGTTTCAAGACCTCTCTCTTCTCTCTCCACTCACTTGAAAGTGAAAAATCTCTTTTCAATATTTAATACATAGGGCTATAAATTACTGATAAATTTTTATGTGCTCTCTCTCTCTCTCTCTCTCTCTCTCTCCATCGATAAAAGTGTATACAACTTATCAATGAATCCATTTATTCGCTTCAATCGACTGTCGTTTAGAAATATGTGGCAAAAGAAAGAAAAAAAAATTTCCAAATTTGTGTCCAATTATGTAAAAAAGTCAAACGATTAG